TAAACCATGATAATAATTTCAATAAAAATAGTTGTAGTTATGATCAATAATTTTTGAGAGCGTATGATAGTAAATAATTATCATACAAAACACAATACTAAGTCAAATATTAAACATGTTTATATAATATAGCAAATAAAATCATTATATATAATAGTCGTTAAAAATGATAATACATACATAATAATAAGCATATAAAAAGTCTGAATACATATAGTACTAATCATGCTAATAAGATAAATTATGATGAAAATAGTCACAAAATATTATATGACAAAAATAGACATAAGAGTAAACAAGCGATTCAAAATAGGTATTTTATATAAAACACAATAATGACATAATTATATATATTCGACAAACAATATAATAAATCAGAAGTATTAGTAATATTCATAAGGTAAAATAATAAATATAAACAAGATATAATAATAATAATTATTACTGTATAAAATCAATTCAGATATAGCAATATATGACATAATAGTCAAAGTCACATAAATACAATCAACATAATTATACATAAATAAAGATGTGTAATACACAAAACATGAACTATGGAAGATAAAATAAGTTTATAAATAAATGAAAACTTAAGAAGAACATAAATTCATATAATAGAAACACCGATATATTGTAGATAAACATACAATGAATAATTAATAAACATGTGAATATAAACACCGATAATACATGAAATAGAACACGATTAAACACATTTGATACTAAAAATGATGAATGACTATAAATCAATAAAAAATAAACATCATAAATATAATAATCTACGTGAATACACTATAATAAAAAGAGAATAGTAAGTATAAATTAATAAAAAAATAAAACACAACACAAGTAAACGAAAATAATGAATAGAGAATGAACAACAAACAATGACACAAAAGAACACAAAAATCTAAAAACACTGTAAAATAAACACTGAAAAATAATATGCGTATACAATGAATATTACTGATATGACAAAATAATACATATCGAAAATAAAGCAATAACAACAAATATGCAAATGCACTATTAATAACCCATGAGTAAATACCATGCATACCCATAAATGCTATTTTGAATTATCTTTATATTAATTATAAAAGGATAATAATTAATGATACGAGATAATGTAACAAAAACATATATAATTAGTAACTCAAACCCCAAACCTAACAACATGAATAAATGACTGAATATCAAAATAGAAATATATTATTCTTAGGAATAACGAAACCAATGTGAACATACTAAAACAATCTAACAAGATAAAACTAACTGATAAGAAAACTATGTACTGAAATATAAAGAATAAGAATGTAATGCATATGTAGAATATTAAAATCATGAACTTATTAAAGTATATCACTAAAAATACAAACAATATACAATAATCTAAAACACAAGTAAATAATAGATGGTATGACAGAAAACACACACCTACATAATGTAGATATGCAAAAATAATGATATATAAGGAGAGTGTAGTCAGGAAGTGTATAAGTAATGACATGATTTGAACAATTGAAAATGTATAAATAATGATATATATTTTTAATAAAAACATACAATATAATACTATGTGTGATACATAAAATAATATAATAAATAATGCAAAAATCAATACAATCAAAAGATATATAAGTCAAATCAAAGAAAACATAGTGTAAAAATAATAAAATATAAAATAATGACTGACACGAGAAAAGAGAAGATATACAAGGAGAGTGTAGTCGGGAAGTGACGAGACAAGAAACAGTAAAAAGTTCCGGAGTCAAAAAGTAATAAGATAGGAACTACGATATAATTTATCGAGATGATGAGATAAGGGGTAACTATAGTCTTACGGATGAAAAATGATATGCATCTAAATTGTCCATTATATTCTCATTGGTAGGAACTCGGGGCCGTGACCTGCATGGGCAACCACTAAAACCTATCACGCCCTGCTTCCCAAAATACCGGGGAATCAGAACGTGAACAAGCCCGCGGTGTATTAGATTGAGGAGAAAAAATAAAAATAAATATTTCTTCTCAACCTAACACGCTAAGCGTCAAGCAATATACAATGCAAAGTCACAGGTCCATATCACAATAGCGAGAATATAATAGACAAACTCAGAACAAAATATCCATATCACAAGTGAATATCATCCAAGACATAAAATACGGGTCAAACATGCCCTTATACATGACTAAACAAATGAATACTGAAGAAATATAAAATATATCGTTCAACGGTAAAAGAAAGGAAATACTATAAAAGTAAACTACGACCATCAACTAAGAAAAGATAACCGAGCTTCGGCATATTCTTCAACTCTGTCTATAAGGCACTCCAGCTGAGAATATCCTGGCTCGGGCACATCTCCAAACTAGACCTGTCCGTCCTCTAAATCTGACGTTCACCAAAGAAAACAGGTATACGTCAGCGTGTATGGCACACGGCAAGACCCCACAAAAGAAAATAGAACGATCGAAAACCCAATGCGAAAAATGATACAACGATATAAATGACAAAAGGAACGTGCAACTGGAAGTCTAACAAAATCAAAATGCAATCCATCATTAAAATGTGATACTCATAAGGCTAACAGTATACAATAACCGGGTCGAATACTAGCCATCCTAAAAACTCACTAGTCCACATCTCACATAGAGTCAACGTTCATATTACCGGATAACTGGTTGTTCACAAATCCTCTATGTGCATCCAATCCCGCTACACATGCGGCAAGAGGACTACACGCAAACCGTTTTCTGCCTGGTCCGAACTCAAGCAAAACTCGGGTGACGAAATAAATTCCCACTGACCAAAGTGATGTACACACTTCACTTTAGCCCTACAAACCAACCCCAGTGGCGACACCAACCACTGGCACGAGCCTAGAAGATACATCAACAGTCATATCCGATCACATGAACAAATACTTCCTCATCCCAACTCTTCTTATTTTTCTAAGTAAACAACATAATCCACACTAGATCTCTGGTTCACCTCCTAAATTCAGTCAACGCACCCATACATGTCACTAAGTCTGTTCATGACGCACGAGGCCCCTAAGTCATGAACTACTAATGGTTCTCAATTACAGCAAGAAACAGTAAATAAATATAACTAATTCTATGCAATAACATTATGACATGTTAAATATATTAAAATAAGATCGTAAAACATGAATAATAACTATGAACAGTATAATTATGCATGCAAGCCGATTTTATCAATATCCTGCTATTCGAACCTCTAAATTTCTCATAAAAGTATCAGCAACTCGGTAACATCTAATATAACAACGGTCGAAAAGAAATTTGAAATCCGTGGTTGTTTTACACATGAAATATCGCGGCCTACAACCATCAAACACAAGATTAAAAAATTTAATTAATTCCAAAAAAGATCTTTTCTAAAATGATTCTTTTCACAAAATAAAATTCTTTTAATTCATAATAATTATTCTAAAATAATATTTAAAATATTATTATTATTATTATTATTATTATTATTATTTATTATGAATGAACAATAACTAGTTTTATTTTTCTATAAATTATTTCTATTTTTTCTTTTTCAATTATATCTCATAAATTTTATCAATTCACTAATAACCTACCACAATAATACTTAATATCATTCACCAACAACCCACGCAAAATATCATAATCAAATCTACGCATATAGTTAATAACATATATAAATATTGTAACGATAATAAGGAGAAGCAGGATCTTGCCTACGAGGCCAAGGGGCCTGTGGATAAGGCGGCGATGCCGCTACGGATGCAGTGTGACGGAACTGAAACGGGTGCAGTCGATCGCGGGTCTAAAGTGGGAGAC